CCCCAGCCCCATCCCCATCTTTCTGTTTGATGTACTTAAGGTAGCTCCGAATTACAAGCATATCATCTAGGTGCTTAGCACTGAGAAGACTTCTTCGCGGGCTAATTATGAGCCCCGCGATGCTGAATGCTCTCTCACTAGAGGCACTTGAAGCTGGGATGCATAAAACTTCTTTCGCCAGCTTTGCAAGTTTAGGAAACCTATGAGCCTGCGGGAAAAGAGAGATTTAAAAGAAGCACGGTGCTCGAAAAAATTGTGATGGCACAGCACTATTACTGACGAATTTGTTCAAGATTGTGTCCAGTTTTCAATAAACGAGATAGAGATTGAGGAAGGGTAAATTTACTAGCGGCCGCACGCGAAAGAAATAAAAAAATGATGCAAAATGAAAGCAAAATAAGAGGCGAAAAGTCCCGAAACACCCTAAAATAATAAATCCGCGTACGTTGACCCCCGAGTTAAATTCCCCTTGCTAGAGATTTTTGCACGATACTTTGCGGGATCAAACATAGTAGTAGCTGTTGTTTGCCCTATCAGAGTCCAAATATTAAAATAACAAATATGAAATAAACAAATCACATGGCTTAAACGGTGCTAGATGAGCAAAACAGGAAAAAGTCAGATGAAAGATTAGATGATATTTCGGTCGGACAGACTAGTGACATCTCCTCTCCACTACCACTTTCCCATGTGTCATGTTTTCCGGAAAAGTGAGGGTGGATAGGAGAGCTCACTTAATAAAACAGTTCAGTACCGTCCAGAACCAGTCAGTGCACGCGCCTGAGTGTTGCATTTTTGCCTACTCGCTCCGCGGCGCGAAGGCGCATGGAGTAGGAGTACGGAGCAGATGTATGAGAAGGCAGGAGACAATACGTAAAAACCTGCCAGCGTCCGGCGCGTACACGACGGCTCCACGTGGTACATGGTACATGCAAACTCTAAAATTCAGCCAGAACAGACCTGTCGTTCCACTAAGGTTTTATTTTGTAATTGGTGACTTTATGTTAATTCTAGTCACACATTCTACATTGTAGATTTTCTATACACCCTGCCCCTTAGATACTTTCAAATTTGACTCAGCGGCCGGGAATAAAAAACTGAGTGGGGAGCAACAAATGTCCGTCTCTGAACTATTTTAGAGTTGCCAGAATTAGTAACATGAAACTGTCGAGCGATTTTCGAATGGTGTCGAAAAAATACAAAAAGATTGGAACTCTACTTTTGAATATCGACTGCACTGCAGCACTATCGTCCAACTATCGAGAGAGCATCCATTTACAAACTATCGTAATATATTTTTTGAACACGTATCGACAGTCGATCGTCTACTTCATGTTACCAGGAAATTCACTGTGTACGTACGACCTAATACCTCTTTCTCCCAGAACTTTAAGACATCCTTTCCCTCGACAAGAGGGAATGAAGCTTCAAGGTATGCCTCAACCTCGTCGGGGTGCTCTTCATCATCTCTTGGGCCAGCCATGCCACCTGCACGCCACCTGTCATACCCATCACCTAACCTAATGCGTTTGCGAGCCTGTTCCTGCACATCGTCGTCCCCAGGGTTGAACTTTTCAATCATTTTCATGACCAAATCGAACACCTGTAACGGTTTGTTAAAAAATGTATAAATAACATGAAACGTTTTCTTCATTAATTGGTACAAAAATCACGTATTTTTGCGCACAAATTTGTACAAAACAAAAAGTGGCTCGAGTTGCAGAAAAACATGTGAATACAATTAGCTTGAGTACCTTTTTCCTCTCTGGATGGGTTTTGAGCATGAGCAGGCGCCGAAAGTCGGGCCATAAAAAAGCAGCCACTTTATGCAAGTCATCGGGGATAAATTTCTTCTCGAGCAATTGCGCTGCACGAGCACGCAAATGGCGCATTTTAAATCCTTCCCCATCTCGTGGCTCAGACAGTTCGGCCAGTCGAGCCGCGGCAACCAGTACGTATTGTAATGTGGGATACTTGTCCCCCTGCACACGCTCCGACTCCGTCTTCCAGGGCTTCAAGAACTTAATAAGAGCCTTAATGTCCCACTGGTCCTCGTCATCAAGCAGTAGGTAGGAATAATCTTTCTCGGGAGTTGTGTGAGCTCTCAAGATATTATTTACCTATCGGGAAAGAAAGCCAATAAAAACCAGGGAAAATAACGACGAATAACGCGAAATCGTAGACCTACACGCCAAAAATGAGAGCCCGTGAGAAATAAAGACGAAATAGCTTGAAAAGTGCAGTATGGTCACACAATACCCCCCAAATACCACGAAATAGCAGAAACAGCCGCAGTAATTTGACGCGTAAAACAGCGTGGTTTAAACCGTAACTTTAGCACACCCTAAACGCAAGTGTGTGAATGTCGAACACTTGCAGATGTGTGATAAGCCATTTGTACATTTAAGGGTGTAAACGTTCGAATTTCTTCTAGAAAGTTCACACGTTTCCCACCCTCAGTGTACGAATGGTTATTCACACAGCTGCAAGTGTGCGACATTCACACACTTGCGTTTCCAGTGCAGATCGTAAAATTAAACGATATCGAATAGAAACCGGCTCGTGCAAAGTTTTCGCAATTTTATGTACAAATACCTTTTCAAAGTCATTTTTGGGGAATGACATTAACATGATGAGCATGGAGTTCCACCGTGTGGGGATCTCTTGCTTAAGAGTCTCATCGAGCAGGTCATTTTCCCCCCACTTTTTGAAGAGAGTCACAATCTTCTTACATCTCTCCATCAGCTGCACAGCGTGCCTGCCCGCTGTTTGCACTCTAGCGTTCTCCTTTAAATAGCGCAAAAACTCGCTATCTTCAGGACTGTCTGAGAAAGAGACAAAAAAATGGGAACTGTGAGAAAAGATCAATTGATTGCCACACTGCAAAAAATTATGACAGGATCGATAGGTAATTCTTTTCAGGCAGATCATGAACAATGAAATGACTGTGTCGCTGTACAAACATGGCACTGAATCTGGTGCAAGGTGTAACAGAACGGAACGACCGTACAAAAAAATAAAAATAAAAAGAATACTCGCACAGTGAAGCCGTTGTTTTCGCAAAAACAAACGACACATCATTCTAGAGGTTGCTACTTGCGTTACCCGATTGAATTTTAAATAAATAAGCAGGCTAAAATAGACAGAATTATATAAAGGAATGACATTTGCGAAAAATGTTACCTGCAATGTGGTTGTTTAGCCAATCCTGATCAACTTCAGACAGGTCGTTGAAATGTGGCTTAGCCATTTCATCTAGCGGCTGAATAAAGTCGACCAGAGTCTTGATGTGGTCTACATTGAGTTTGTCCGCCACTTCAAACTCGTTTCCATCTCGCAAAAACTCACGAACCTATAAAATAACAAAAAAAAACACAAAGCGTGTTACGTCCGTCACTTTGTGGGTCGCCAGGTTGTGCCGCACTGGTAATGCAAGGGCATAGGGTGACTCAGAGAGGACGCAGATGCGGGTTGCGGGCGGCTTTGCCTACCTAATGGGCCATGGCACCCAGCGAGTACGCAAACCCGCCCGCCGCATCTGCGTCTCCTGTAAATCACCGGTACGAATGTCGCGCTGGCTGAGTACAAAAATGCACACACTTGCATTTACCTCATCAATATTAGCCAGCATATCTTGCATGCAAGGCACGCGAGAAACGTAGCGTCGAAAGTCACTGGTCGACTGTTCTGGTGGTTTTTTCAGTCTTTTGAGGTTGTCTGACTTGCGGCGCCTTGCAGACCTAACTTGCTTAATTGCAAGTTCTGCCAAATGGAAAACCTCCTCTCCTTCTTCACCGTAAAAATCTAAGTCCACCATTTTCATATTAAAAGCACTTCTCAAAATAATGTTAAGACAATGGTCCATGCAATAAATTCTCTTGATCTTTAGGATGTCAAGTGCTTTTATAATGTTTGAGCCTCCATCAGTTACAAATACTAGATGCTCCTTGTCAATGGAGTACTTTTCTAGCTCCCTGTCCAAATGTTTTGCCAAGTTTTCGGCTGATTCGGTATCATCCCGAAACTTTGACACAGAGAGTAGAAGATTTAGCAATTTATGATTATGATCTATAACGTGCATGGTGAGCGACATGTAGTGCCTCTGTGTGTATTTCTCTGTCCAAAGGTCAGTCGTGGCAGCCTTGCCCACACACCCCTGAGACGCAACCTGGAGATCTGCCGAGATGACACGTCTCGCTGTGTTCGCCTTTTCCTCCAGGCAGCGCACCAGTGTTGTGCGGTCGCTGATGAGCTGAGCGGCGCTCAATGGGGTCTTCCCGTGCCTGGCCTGGATGTTGCACGATGTCTGGACAAGGGCCTGGAACTCTTCCCCAGAGAAGGTGGTCGTTGGCCGTAGATCGGCAGCCATGAGGTTCACACAGGCACTCCTGAACTCAAGGCGGTCTTCTTCGGTAGCAACCTATAAGAAAGTCAGTCATATATTATTAACTATTACCGACGGAAGCGATTTGGATATTCAAAGTGACAAGTGACTTTTAAGATGTGATTACGCCCCCCCCCCCTCTTCCGGTCTGCTCTCAGTATCCACCTGGAACGTAAAAATTTAGGCAATTATACTGGGAGAAGGTGCTACCTTATGCCTTTGTAGAGGCGTCATTAAAAAAGTGATTTTTACAAAGGCGCTACTGGCCCCCAAAGTTGGAAGTTTTAGCTACTTAAGTGCCTTTGCAGAGGAATTGCAGCAGAAATACCAATGTGGAGGGAAAGCCAGGGGGTTAGCGGTGACCTACAGCCGGGTGACTGACCGCGGCGTGCCCCCCCCCCTTTTCCACCTGACTCTGACTCCCGATACCACCATCACTAAAGTACCAGCGTACATCGATTTTTCTTAATTTTATCCTTAATTTTCCCGTGAGTTTTCACGACGACGCACCGCGCAGACAAGTGCGCTCAGTGATAGTGCCGATTGTCCGGAGAAGCGCGAGCCCGTACGCACAGCACCGCTGCGCCGAGCCCAGATTCTGGGCCGCGCGACAGGACACGTACGCACAGCAGCGACGCCACGCTGAGCCTAGGGCCACATTCCCCGCGGATAAGGCCACGTTCGCCCCGGACGTGTACGTGTGGGGATTGAGTGGGCCACGGACGCGCCCAGGACTCGTCAGAGAAAATGACCTCGTCCCACCTCCACCCAGCCGACTTATTCCGAGGAGCGCTCTGTCTCGGGCGCGGGGGTGGTGGAGGCCTCGCGCGGGTCGGGCCGCAGCGGACGGGTCATGTACTGGTCGGGCTACCTAGCTCGGCCGGCTGCGGGCGAATAGGTTTTGGCTGTAGGATATAGGCCATCAGGCCAGCAAACGACAAGCGAACAAGAAAAGTAAACCCGATCTTTGTATCCGGATCCGGTGTCGCTCGTATCATTGTTGCTTGCCTGAACGGACGGAACGGACACTGACTTGCGCCATCTTGGTGTTAACAGTTTACCAGTTTCTGCCAGATACCAGGCAGATTTCTGCCCACTTCTGAACAAAATGGGTGAGTTAAACGATTATTGGTCTTACACACCTCTCTATCTACTTTACTCCGTTTTTATGGTTTTTATCG